TACTTCAGTTAGAACTTAAAAGTTAAACAACTTTATTTTTCTAAAAAGCAACTGAACTATTGAATAAGTGGTCATCAGCAGTTGTGGAGACCAGCACTTTACTGAAGTTTAATGTAACAGATTATTTTCTAGAAAGTAGAGAGTTAGTTTAAATTTTTATTTTTCAAAAGGGTAGGTAGGCAAAGACACCCCTGAAGGACCAAATAGTCTCTATTTGTCTGTATGTTATGTTATATAATAGTGCTATTTCAAAGACAAGTGAATCTAGAAGTATCAAAAACAAATTAATAGGACAGCACATTGTCATTTAAGTCTTTCTAGTATCAGTGAATAAGTATGGATGACTTGGATAATTCATCTGAAGAGTTAGTTATTCATTGGCTCAAGAAAAAAAAACATTTTTTACAAGCAGTCAGTCACCCATCTCAGAAGCCATTATTTATTTTTTATTATACAAATAGTAATGTCTGGAAGATTAAAATTGTCATATCATCTGAAAGTTAGTAAAACCAATGTGGGCATATGAAAGGACAAAGTCACTTAACAAGTCAAGTCATACTTAGAATTATTAAAATAAATCCATGGATCACAAAAAATGTTTTGTATGACGTAAACAAACTAGTGATACAAGCGGAAATTTATTGCTTTATTTTTAGTGGGTTTCTATTTTAGTCGTTGACAGTAAAATAAATACAGAAAATATATGTGTGAAATGTTTAGCAGTTGAAACCCTCAAGAGAAGTACTTTGAATATTTATGATCAACGAGGAAGAAAAATGGACACAGCTGCTCATTTCATTTCTGATTTTATAAGTTTTCTTTTCACTATATTACTGAGGTAAAACTAACAACAGATAAAATCTTACTGAAAAAGAAGTTTTATATGTATTTAAAAGGTTTTAGAGATTACACAAATGAAATTTGAGATTTTGAGATAAAGAAAAGTAATTTTAATCTTAACATAACAATCCCTTTGCACTTAGACTAGTAAGAAAAAAAAAAGATTTGATGTATTCATGGACAAATCTACACTAAAAATCTGATACATATATCCACACATATATACAGAGCTGATTAGACAGTTGCTACTGGTTCATTTGTCAGGCCCCATTGTATAGCTTTGTACTCCAACAAACTGAAACAATTAAGGCTGA